GAGAGAACTGAGGGGACAACGTATCCATCCTCTTGCGGTTGATAAGTAGGCAGATGGACATGGCTATCGAAGAGATCCGAGTAGAAGTCGTGGATGACTTTCTCCATTGCCCTTCGGGATGCAGTAACTGTTCCATCCGGACGTCGGAGGCAGGTCATCTTGGTCTTGTAGCTGGCAAAGCTTCGGCGGGCATTGCGGATGCTCCTCCCAGCCTCTGCTGCTTCAGCTAATACTGCTGCTCTTCGCTCCTTGAGATCTTCCTTTATCGCCTCTCTGCATAGCTTCGCAAGCTCGGACGTGAGTCGGTGATTGCCTGCAGCTCGTGCGGCTCCACGCTGGCGTATCAGTTCGAGAGTTTCCGGAGACAGACGTCCCTTGGTGACTTTCAAACTCTCTGCCTTCCTGCCACTCTCGTGAAGGTGTTCAACGAGCCGATGATATTCCTCGTCGATGTTCTTCGATAACGGAATCCTCCCATAAGCTGACAAGAGAAGTGAAGTGATCCCAGTTGATGACTGTCCTGGGGCTTCGCTTCCTGAACTTCGAGGCTCTCTCAACACGCATCGAAAAGTGGAACTTTGCGCGGAGGAGACGATGGTCCGATCCCGTGTAGAACTTCGGAACAACAGCGACGTCGGTCAGGCAAAACCTTCGATTGAAGATGATGTGGTCTATCTCGTTATGGAACTGTCCATCAGGTGACTCCCAAGTCCAACGAAGGTGAGAGGGCTTCTGGAACTGCGAGTTACCATGGATGGTGTTGGTCGACATGATAAACTCAGACAGTCTTTCGCCCTGCTCATTCCAATCCATTCCGTGAGTACCGATGTGAAGTTCTTCAGCCGTTCTTCTCGGGCCAATCTTGGCGTTGAAGTCGCCGACGATGACCTTGAAGAAGGTATGATCTTCCCTTGTAGAACTTCTCCAATTCCATATAAAATGCTTCGTGTTCTTCCTCGTCGTAGCTGGATGTTGGTGCGTAGGCGACGAAGATTGTCAAAGCAGGAGTTGAACCACATCTTCTCAATCTCAAACGTCCGATTCGGGTCGTAAGGCTTTCGTACGAATCGATGTTTATGGCCAAGTGCGTGTTGACGAGGACACCCACACCGCCAACGCCTCTGCTGTCGCATGTTCCAAGGAACAGTTCTTCTCCAGTATCGAAAACGGCGTGTAGCGGGCGGTGCCTTCTCGTCTCGGTCAGTCCGATGACGTCGTACTTGATCTTCCTGGCCTGCATCATCAGATCTTCGATGTGAGCTTCGGATGCAAGCGTTCGTGCGTTGAAAGTACAGATCGCCATCTTAGTCCTTCTTCGTTTAGGCAGCCTATCCGGGCCCTGAGATTCTAGCAGCCTCTCCCGAGCGGTCCTACCCAACGCTGCCGTATTGGGGGCTCCCTCAGGTTCAGGGGAATGAGGCCCATCCATATTGCTGTTTTCGGCATATTGAAGGCACACGAGTAGCTTGCCAGGCTCTGTCGTGTGGGCTAGGATAGACCTCCAGGTAGTTAGCCACGCTATCCTGGAGCGGAACAAGGGGCTTATTTTTTGGAGGCGGCCCCGAATCGCCTCCCATGTACTTCCCAGTCACTTGAATGCAAGCTTTTGGCTGTGCCGACATGCAGGATACCAACCGCACACACACAGAGCGCACCACACACGCAAGCATGCATGGATGCGCCTGAGTGGAGACAGCTGGTATGAATCACACAGCACTACAGAAACAGGGAGTCCATCCCCTGAATCCACCTGCGTCTCAGGGCAAGTACATGGTGGCTTTTGGTCCGCGATTTACCCCCTATCCGCCACCTGGGGTCGCGCCACGTAGCCTCGCCACCAACCGGCTCGAGATCTTTCAGTGAGAGAGGACCCTCAGTGAAAGAGATCCGTGACACTTTTCTCATTTTCCGAAATAGAGGATACTTATGGACGGTTCCTTTTCTCGTTTATGCCTACTTCACTCAATCTCCAACACCGCATTTGTAGCCCAAGTTTCCGTTGACCTCGAAATGCAGCTCTAACTGGTGTCTTGATGTGTGATACCTTGCTATCGCATTTGCGCTTCTGAAGTGTAGGCGCAAGCACGGCTTATCTAAAATAGTGTGATGAAATGAAAACTTAAAGGATTACCATTTTCAAATTGTGGAGGTAAACAATGAGGTAATAATGTGACGGGTATTTTCGATTTCAAATTTTTTTTACGAGGGATATATTCAGCAGCTAATCTCACATGATTTACCTGCGATATGTGGCTTATGACCGCAGTCGGGGCTTAAAGTTACTTAGAATGATTACATCCTAGATATACCTCCTACTCATCCGTCCGCATTATACCTGTGTTACATTATAAACCGTCGCATCACCTTGGGGAGTAAATTTGGAGAAATATGCAAATAAGGGACGTGAAATTGCGGCGAATTCCCGATTCTGAGACTCTTACTCCTTACCTGAGATTGGAAAGCAAAGAGCCTAAGGCAGTGCAAAATACGAAAGCTGGAAAAAACCAGTGATTTAGATAATGAGTTCAAAAGCTCTCTAATGAATACTATGTGTACAGGACGCATTTATCGAACCCTCAAAAATTCTGAGTTCAACGGATAAGTCATGAGGTCCATTCCCGTTGCGTCCAATAAGGAACAATTTCCACGATTTTGACGCAAAGCCTTGAATCGCTTAGGGGAAGCACTTATCGTGGTGAACAGGCAGCTGCCTTTGAGTTGATCGTGGACATTTCTAAAAACTCCCCATAGGCAGTCCGCATTGTTAAGCGACCTTTGTCTGCTTCGTACCCCAACAATTCGAGCCATATCAACCGTGCGCAATCATTATATACTTTTGGCTATCTAGTGAACTTAATGATTCTCTTAAATCTATCCTACTGATGTTTCAGTGGCTGTCTGCATTATGAGGGTGCTCCTCTACAGCAAGATGTCAAGTTCGAGTTCAAAATTGACTCCCAAGAAAATTATCTAAATTTCTGCGGGGGCAAAACTCGTTAAGGTCAGGTGGCACGCTGATGCATAGTTCTCCGAAGAATCCTTCGCAAATCCCTTCATCTTCGAAAACAAGTTTGAGTTGAGCTTAACCT